TGTTCAGTCGAGGGCTAAGCGAGTCGAAGCGACGAGCGTTACTTGTTAGTAAGCTATGGCATATATCTATTTGAGGGTATGGTTGTGGACATGCGATGAGGTAAGAGGAGTTGACTAGAACATTTTTACTTACATCCATACACCGAACTGCAGATTAAAATTGATTAAAGCTTTTAAAGGGAGCAGATCAAATAAAATAAACTGCAGATTAGAAAAATACAGGAGTGTACGAGTATGATTGTGAATGACAATATAATTTGGATTGAAAATTGGATGACTCTACTTAGATTGACGACATGTTTTTTCAGATATTCCTTCTGAAATCTACTCATAATCCAATACAAATCTTTTTTCTAGAGGAACTTTACCTGCTTCAACAAGGGCTTTCGTGAAAAGAAAACCGTTTCATGATATGCGTTTACGTTTCAAAGTTTCTCAAGCAACATTCACTATCGATTCTATTTTAAAATAGATAAGAGCAATGACATTTCGATTTCGGCAATCATAATTCAGGTCTACTAGAGCGGCAAATAGTATTATAAGAAAAAGCTGCATATCTCTATCTTTTAGAGTGTTCATTAGAGAAATGAACATTTTTCATCACAGTAATTTCGAAAGCAACAGAAAATAAGCCGATACCGAATGTCTCGTCATCCAATTAAAAGTGGACAGTATGAAGTGCAACATAGTCATATAAAAAAAAACAGAAAAATCAGCAGATACATGATTTGAATCGATTATAATCATTAGTAGGGATGGACCATGTAGCTTAACTTAAAATTTAGTTTAGTTTTATTACTTAATACTTCATATTAGTTTTAACTTTTTGATACAAAACACTGAACTCACTTAAAATTAGGTTTTAGTAATTGCTTCATGCAGACATCATTGAATTTAGAGTTTTTCAGTACTCCAAAACGGACATACCATGCTATTGTTCAATCATACAAAAGAGAATCCCTGCTAGCCTCTGATCAGTTCCGAACAGCAATAGGTTTTGTCCTTACGATAGACGAAAAAACCGCTACTGTCTGATTGGTTGATATCTCTTTTCTATCCATCTATCACTTGAGAGATTCTCTCGTAACAGAATAAGTGTCAGGGTATAGGTATTAGAGTATAGGCATAAGAGTATAGTTATAAGACTACAGATAAGGTGCGGAATATTCAATATTTAAGCAGAAATTGTCGTTTGCTTTTTTTCTTTTATGTGGGTAGAGTTCATCGAGTGACATACAGAAAATAAGTATATTGGAGGTTTGAAAGTTGGCTTTTCCTAAAGAAAATTCAACATTATGAGTTTTTCAAAACCATGCAAAATAAATGAAGTTCTAAATACGATACTAAATCTTCGTGTTTATTGATGTTTTAAAATTTCATAACTAATTTTTTGTATATCTGCATGCAAAACTGTATGTAAAACGCTGGATTAGCCGTTCTTGTGGTCTAAAATGAACTGTGTTTCGTCAAAACATGAGTAGGACGCTAACAAGACTTTTTGTGCACATTGCAAACTTATGAAGTACTCTTATATGAATGATGAAAATGTTATCTTTACTGTATTACAGTTAATATACCAATTGGAACAAAGTCATGTATCTGAAAAGATATAATAATCCGTTATTTAAAAAATCAAGTTTTTCGAAATTAGTAGTAGAATAGTTAAAAATACGATCATATTTGGACGTATTGATCATCAAATTTTGTTTTCAAACAAAATACCCGTAATATTCAAGACCCGCATATAAAACGAATCGAATAACATAGGGTGTGGGTGTGGGTGTGGATGAATTCTTCAATGAAATCTACACTCACACTCATACCCACACCCACCCGCACACCCACACCCTCCATCATTTTATGATTACTTTGCGCTCATGTTGAAACTATCTAATCCTACTGGATTCAATGTTCTACTCAGTTCACGTCTCATTCGCGAAAGTATTGTCCGTAATTCACCAGAAAAAGTCGCTGAAGTTTTTGCCCAAGCGCGAGGTGAGTCGACGACTGGGTTGCTTCTTCTTGGACATCTTATAGCCGGTGGACAAGTATCAAACACATCTAACACAAATAACAGCGTCAATCCAGGATGGCGTACTGCTCTCCTTCATATGGTCAATTCTCAGGGTTGGTTAGATACAACACCCGAAGATATTCAAGAATACTTAGCTAAGGAAGTAACACGTAGAGCATATATTTTAGACCAACTATCGACTGGTTCACAGTCAAGTTGCTACACTAATGAAGCTGACCCAAATGAAGTAAATTGGAAAGAAAACTTCTTCGGTTCACAAGCTATTTATAATCGATTGAAAGCTATCAAAGATAGAGTTGATCCACTGGGGCTACTTGTTTGTAAAAATTGTGTTGGTAGTGACGATTGGACATCAGATTTCAACTGTCCGATCACACTGAATCCTTCAACAGCATCAAAATCAATCATATTCAGTTTGACGTTGTCATTCATGGTGATACAATTTTTTCTACTAGTACATTAAGTCTCGAATGTTTATTGTGGAGTCATCTGGACCCACAACTGCTTTTCATTTTCGACTATGTTAATACTTATTCTCTTTTTAACTATCTATTCTCTAATTACAAGCCTTCTAACAAGGTGAAAAATCTATATCAATTTTCATGAATACAACTTACAAGCAAAGGCTTGAAGGATGGGTCCCCATCGATCTCGCAACAATCTTTATGTCATACAGATAATTGTTATTTTTGTTAGACCTACATTTGGTTATCTAGAGAGTTTTTTCCCAGAAGTTCCCTTTGATTCGTTACTGTCAATAGGTAGTTGAATATTCATTTTCTCTTAGTCTGACAGCTATTGTTGTATTATGATCAATATACTCCTGTCTTCATTGCTGGTGACAAGGCTCATCTTCGACTTATCTTCCTTGAAAGCAAACTAAGGGTGCAGGTGTGGGAGTCAACGTAAGAGAAAAGAATACTCATATCCTTCACAGTCTTATCGATCAACAGACAGGGAAAAATTTAGGTATCGTACTTATATTTAGTTCTATAATTAGTCTATAGTCTGCGCTTTAAATATTACGAACTGATCACTTATTCAAAACAGATGTAATTACTAGCAATGATAGCAATTAGTGTAAAAATACTTGGTTGAGTTCAGTTTCAGTTCTATTATTGTGAGCGACCCGATTTCAGATCACAATCCTAGGTGGTTCAAAATGAATCCTTAAGAATAGAGAAATGAGATTTTATAAAAAGTGCTGTGTTTTCAACGGTGAAGAAACTCCTGTAGTAGTATGATTTCCATGAGGATGAAGTCTTTTTAATTTTCACACAAGTTTTCTGCTAAAAGCAGTCGTTTGACTCCGAGTTACAATAAAAAAAAGAGCTGACCACATCTTTTGAGGAAAATCATATCTCAAGTCCGACTTCTCTCATGTTTTTTTCCCAACACTGATTCTTCGGTCTATTCATCTGAGATTAACATTGAAGTGTTCAATTCTTCCCAGTTGGTTACACGAAATCGAGATCAAATATGAACTTTTCCTTACTGTTCGATTGTCATTGTAGAGAACACGAAAAGAAGCCAGATAATATTATATGATTTATCAGTGTTAGAAAAGCGTTCAGTTCTATTGGTGTGATGTTAAATACCAACTACGTCTTCGCTTTCTGAATCGATATTTGTCCTATGAATTGAACGAGTACTCAGTGATAAATCGATCTGGAGTATTCTGTTCGTTTCTTAAGAATGTGACGTGCAGGTGTGCGTGTCGTACAGGGAATGGTTGTACCTGCGAAGAGTCACTCACACGTCTGCCTAGAACCGCATCCACAATCTGTCCGAAATCGAAGGTCGGAATCAATGACTTAGGTAGTCAGGTGCAATACTTTTTCTACGACAAATTACAGATAATTTATGTTGAAAGGCAGTGCTTAGAAAAACTGCGCTTGAAATAGCCTTTGAATATTGGTCTAGAAAGTTGGTGAAACAACTTTTAGAATGTTTTATTTATTTTAAGATGGTTAGCACTAATAAATGAGCGCGAAATAAGCTAGACTAAACAGGATCAGCTTGCAAGACGATATCAATCGACGCTTTAAGACTGTCAACAAGAAAAACAAGCTCCTGTTCAGTAATTGTATACGGCGGGGCGATGATAATATGATCTCCACTAATACCGTCGAATGTACGTTTTGAACAAGGGTAGAGAGCAACTAGAAAAGAAGAACAGAGTAAATATGACTTAGAAGGGTATAGTATCGCTCACCTCCACGCTCAATGCATTTATTGGCAATGGAATTTACAAACAGAAAGGTAGATGGGTACATCTCTTTTGTTAACTTGTTTTTGACGAATTCAACTGCCCAGAACAAACCACGACCGCTGAAGAATGACAAAAGAAATAGTAAAATGTTCAATTTCCGAAGAATGAAATTGTGATTATGCATAATAATAAATGTAGGGCTTAGACAAAAAGTTAAGAGCCCATTTATAGACCCATAAGACATGAAGTCTTGTGAAAAAGAATGAAACCTCTGCGACTACATAAAAAGCACTGTATGAAATCGTCATTGCTGGAATATTCTAGATCATTATAGAATGATAAGGTGAATTGCATAGGAAATCTTTCTCGAGACTTTCCACTATCAGTTGTTTTTTCGCCATCTGTGGTCCTAGAAAAGAATTGTATTCACTAACCGAATATCGCCAACATGCGAGTGATCGTCCAACTGTGTCTTGAGCAATTTTTCTAAGAAAAGTCCACGCTGATAGGATTGTTCTACCAGCGCATCCTCCTTGATCACTTTTAGAACTTCTAAAGTTGCTCGACATCCAACGGGATGTAACTGATACGAGTATACATTAATAAATTCACCTGAACCAGCAGACAACATATCAATAACTTTGGCTGAAACAAGTATTGCTCCAATACGAGCATATCCACCAGCGAGACCCTTTCCATTGACTTGAATATCAGGTGGAGATGAAAGATTTTCCCATTGCCATGCATGCAGTTTGCCCGTTCGACCAATACCGCACATGATTTCATCGAGAACAAAGAGAGCTCCATGTCTATCACACACTTCACGCATTGCCTTGAAATAACCTGGCATTGCTAGAGTGCAACCACTTGTGGCGCCGACAACTGAAAATGAAAAAAATTGATTTTTACATTCAAATCGTATAGTATTCACGCACTCGTCTCCGCGAAAAAAGCAGCCACTGTTTCAGGACTGAGTTCTTGAAATTTGGCCTCCAATTCATCCACAAGACGCTTTACATACGCCTCGTCCGACTCGTCAACCAACTTGTAACGATAGGCAAAACATGGTGAAACATGATGAAAATGAGGCGAGAATAATGGTAAAAAAGGATCACGACGTAATTTATGGCTACTGAGACCAAGTGCTCCAAGTGAATTACCGTGGTAATTCTGCCGGCGAGCAATAAAATTAACTCTTTGAGGTTGCTTGTTTTCCAAATGATACTGTCTGACCAGTTTGATTGCCGATTCAACGGCTTCCTATTAGAAACAAATCATATGCATAGTTCAACATTTTATCTGTCTGAATGTCTTACGGATCCACTGTTGACGAGCAGAGCTCTTTTCATGCCACTTTCTTTGACGAGCTCATCAGCTAACTCTTCAGCTGCCTGAACAGAAGAATAAAGAGTATATATAATTAATGAATTGTTTATCGATTACATCGACGCAAAGAGATATGATCTTCAAAAAATCAAACAGTATCATGATGAATCAAGAAGACAAACGCTTTAGAACTTTTAATTTCTCTAACATTTTTTTTTCCAACCGAAATGTTGAAATCCAATGTATTCTTTACTATTGGAAGCAAACATCTCAGAACGAGTCTACGCTAATTCTATACTCTTACATTGAAAAAATCAAATAAGAAATTAAGCAGGAGTATAATAATTCACTTCTACGTATTACTAGTATGAGGAAGTATTCAATAATTTCTGTTCCTACAAATGGAAGAAAGACGTACGGCTCATAAGAACGGCAAGTTTTTGAAAAAGCTCATTCCACCTCAACAGAATTGGACTCATACCCAGCAGTTTCTTTCATTTCATTTAAATGCACTTATGAATAAGATCTATATGACATATACCACTTAGAAAAGATTTTGCCAGCAAAAGTTAGAGCTTTCAGAATACAATCTAAGTTTTTCTAAGGATCAGCTCTTAAGAAATATCGCCATCTTCGACACAACCTATTTTGTTCAATAACTATGGCATTGTACAGAACATGTCAAAACTACGTCGTGTTCATATTCCATTTTCCGAAAAACGGACTTGCACGAGGACATAAATATGGAGAAAGTACTATTGCTTGCTTTTTACTACTATGAATATTGAACATCTTGTATTAGAAGAACATCATATCAAAAAAATTTTCAAAACTGATTACTCTCCATATTTCCAAGTACAGAGAATATCTATGCTGGTAATGTATCCTTTGATCGAACGAGAAAACAAAGTTGAATATTTAATTTTACTTTGCTGGTAAACGTGGTACATTGTACTTAATTAACAGTCTGCAGCTGATCGACAATACCTTCAGTGACACGTTTATGACCATAACCAATTGTTGTCACACCAGAACCAACACCACCATCAAGAATTTTGCGTCCGTCTTTGGTATAGATATAATTGCCTTCGGCCCGAATAGCGTACAATGGTTCAACGTCAAGGCGACGGTGAAAAACGTTCGAGGAAACCGTATTCATCGTTGAATGATCTGATAAAATAGAAGTGAGAATAAAACACTACAAGAAGTGTTTGCTAATTTTTTATTGTATTTTCGTGCTTTGCTACAGAAAACCGTCCAATTAGTTTCTAGATAAATGTTATCGAATTTACATCGTCATCCAACATTTACTACTCTGGGATAAAGGTGATGCAGCAAAAGTAGTCACTGTGATAAGAAAATCTGATGTGTACTTTGTCATTTAAGTTATCTTTTGTTCTAGTAATAGGTCGTTGCATGAAAGGTATCCACTGCATATAAAGTTGTTCTGTTATGTAATGATAAAATGTTCTGTTGTCTTTCCATATATTTAACACCAAGTAGTGCTCCAAGACGAATTGAAATCGTTTAACACTTAAAAAACCGAAGTGTTCTTTAGACAACCACAGAACGCTAGTTGCAAAGCTAGAGTTTGGGTAGGTGGATCCTCATCTTCACCATTATACGCACACTCTTTGGATCCCTAATGTATGCAAAGATGATGACCTTCAGAATTTTTGATATTGTAAATAGTTCAACATGAACAAAACTTGCTCCTTTTGCTTCTTCTAGAAACACTATTGGTCTAATTTATTATCTCAAATCGTGAAAGTATCAACATCGATGAAAATAAATAGTATATAGACTCTAATAATTGCAGGAATAGGGTATTAAAGTGCCAAATGAATGAGCTTACTGATGTCTAAGGGCACACGGTAACAAAACGGCAGAATAAGTATCTTAACGACACTCAGATCTGTGATATCGTTTTTTGAATCTTAACAGCAAAGACCATGAACAGTCAAATATGTCTCCATTGTTGAATGCTTCATTTCTTATTTAACCTAGAGTGAAAACCAGTTTCAATTGTTTACGGCATTTACTGACAAAGAAAACACAGAAGAAAAGATGAACAGTCAAAAAATACAAAACCACAATCAGCATCAACTGTTCCATTCAAAATTCTATCGTGGTTTTTCTCATCATAGTTTTCAACACTACCCCTAATAGCAGTTAAATCAGCACCACAAATACACCCAGAGATGGACAAAATCGCACCGCGCCTCCCCGCGCCACTGCTCGCGTCTAGGCGCTACGCACATCTCTTTTTCTCTTTGCTCTACCAATCAGTTTCTCAAACGCCACCGAATACCGGGATGCTCTAAGCATGCGCTCATCGAAGCTCAGACTAGTGTAGCGTAGGCGTGAGCAACGGCGCGGGGAGGCGCGGTGCGACTTTATCCATCTCTGAATACACCTGCATCATCTCACCACATACCATTCATATGATTTACTCAGCACAAAAACTTTTTCTTAAATTCATCAAAACAATGGTATTTCCATTATAAGAATGCTTTTAAACTTGACACATATGCTTTCAAAGAGGAAGAGATTTTTCTTTTTTCAATATTATATACAGACAATTGCATTAGTTAACAACATGAATATGTAAAATTAAAACGCATTCATCTCGAAATAATGAGCTCTCTTAGAGATAAATTTGATATGTTACATGTGTGTTAAGTCTACCGATGTTGGTATTGTTTCCTGTTGATATTTCTTTCCTCTTCATCCTATTTAAATTGTTTCTTTCTATGCTCATCTTTCTCGTGTTCTCTACTAATATATGTGCATATGTTCTATATGAAGTAGCTCAATAGAAATCATTACCGAGGATGATGGTACCTACTTCGCTAGTCTGTCGTTACAGGAAGTTACTCTAGATACTTTGAAAAATCAGCGTTAAAGACCTTTATTCAGAGAAGTCATCATTGAAATACGGAAGTTAGCGACGTGATTCAAACAAAAACATCAACTTCCATTTCATGTGGTTTAATGTTAAAAGAAAACTTCAGATCGAGACAGTATTACTGAAAACTAAATAGAATATACTGTAGATAACTCTTGACGATACAAAATCTCTATCTAAAGTTTTTTCTGAACATTTCAAGATTTTTCTAAAAAAGTCGGTTTACTTTTTGTTAGTGATGTGACAAAAAACGAATACACCAATCAAAAAACTATTCTTATAATTGAATAACAAGTTCAAAATCAATTTCAAACTGTAGAAATCCTTCTTCGGAATCTTCAGGCGATGGTAATTTACAAAAAGTTATTTCGAGACTTAATGAGATTTCTTGGAAATCGGACTTTAACAGGAAAAGTTTTGAAGTTCGATTTAGCTAAAAATTTTACTACAGATGTAGTTTGTGTTGTACTGTCTATTCTCAAATTTTTGAATTTTTTTCTTATATGATTTAATAGATATTCATTATTTACTTCTCCATTGATTAATTAACTCATTCATTTTAATTAAGCGTCAACTGAAAGAGTTAAATTTTTCACATATGTCTCTGCTGCAAGAGCTTATTCAGGAAACTCACGTTCGTAAAGAATTAAAGTCAAATGAAAGATTGGTATGTCCTGTTGTGCCTGAAATGACTCATACAATCAAAATAATGAACTTGAAGCATGTATAAAATGTAACTGTAGTCGACCAATAACATCAACAATAGAAGATTTATAAGCATATGCACATGAAGAATTATAGTTATGTAAAAACAATGAAATCCATGAATGAAAAACAAAGGAAACCAAATTTTTCACAATCAACGAGTACTGTATTTATCGTATTTAATGGTTAGTGGAACAAACTTTTATATATTTGTATACGTATCTTTTTCTAATAATTACTTGCGCACACTGTTCGTCATTTTTACTCGTCATTATGTTTTCAACTAGAGATTGATATATCTCAAATGACTTATAGAAGAATGATCAGATTGTTACTATTAAGAAGTGTAGTACATGTCTATCGGTATTAATTTAAGATTTCTTTTTGTGTTCTATAGTATTTTATATTATCTTTAAGTTTCAAGTATTATTTAAACATAATTATTAAAAATTGATGCAATAGCACAAGCAGTCATATTAAATTGAAACTAATAGAAAAAATTTAGATGAATATAGAGATAGACAGAAGTAACAGGTCCAGAGAAGTAGATAAGTACACTTCCTCGCTTCCTTGATTCTCTTTCCTAGATTGTTTTTCCATTTGTCAGTTTTCCTTTGATATTTCTCTGATAGTATTAACTTCTTTGTGCAAATTGAATTATGTTATAATAATCTTACTATTCTATCTAGATTAAAACATGTTTAATACATAATGGTGAGAGACTGTCATGTTAAGCAATAATTTTAGATTCATTTGTCTCTTGAGTTTTTGTGTCAAATCAGATTTTCCATGCTTCACTAATCGCTTTTTGATGAGCAGAACACGTGAGATTAATGTCTCTTGAATAGTTTTTGTATTGCTAATAAAAAATTCATTCGTCCGCGATGCCTAGAACACTTAGAAAATTTTCATAAGTTCTTTTCTTCCAACTTTCTATTACAAGAACATTTGTCAAAGTGACATCAAGCGATATGATATAATTGATTGTCAATCCTCCGATTGAGAAAAGCTTTATACATCATAACAACTTCTTTCTCACAAGAGATGACAGGTAGGATCTTCTAATTTCATTAATCATCTTTTGCAAAGAACATGCAAATTTTATGCTGAACAATGACATTTATGATTACACTGCAAATATTAAATAAATTCTATTCTGTAAAAAATCAAATTGATGTATTTTTAGATTTCCTAAATAGAAAATCTCCGAAATGATTGTAAATTCTTAGACAGCATACAGAATTTACCAAGACACGAGAAGCGAATTCCCAAGAAATTTCTCTTAATTAATTATATACAATAAGAAAACTCCTAGTTAGTCCCTAGAATAACAGATATCTTTACGGAAAATTACCAGCAAACTACCACTAAATACTATCAATCAATCAAAATATATCAAGGAAGTGACTGTAATTGTTGCCAAGCATTAATGAATTTTTCTTATAAGTTGTAGCATACTAAAACATGAAACAATATTTCTTTGTCTTCTTTATCTGTAATATATATAGATTAAAAAAATAAATCTATACAAAAAAAGAACTCAACCGTCTACAATTATAGCAATTTTCAGAATTTGTAGTAATTACAATGAAATTAAAGAAATGATTAGCAAAGTTCGGAAATTTGCTGTTATATGATTAACGACCAAGGATTATTTCTCAACTTTTACGCACGCATAGTTAATTGAAGTTTTCTTTTGCTTTTATTTACTTTTTTCTCTTCTATGTGTTATAGATTATGTTGTCTGTCGTCATATATATTCGGTCGTCTTCTTGTTTTTCTACTCTGTTTAACTTTTCAATTAGTTGAAGAACATCTTCAAATACATCTTTTAATGAAGAAGAACATTATTCTGGATGTTCTTTTCTCTCGTCTCTTGTATCCATTTGCTATTTTTAATAAATATTCATTCGTTCGGCTTCAAACTATGTTTTAAGTAACTTGTTCACAATTTCTTTTGATTTAATGTACGTAGATTAAGAATAAGTTCATAGAAATGAAGCATTCTATGCCAAAAAAAACTGTATGTATTTTAGAACTTTTTGTTCCTTCTTAGAAATTACAGAAATTACTAGAATATTACGAAAATTTGCATAATTGGTTCCCTTTTAATGAATGTAGATTAAGAAATAACTCTATAAGTATAAAAATTTCTACTCTCTAAAACTGGAAGGTCTACGTAAAAAAAAGGCAAAAAAGACATTATAATTGATTTTCTGACAATAACCACAAAAAATCGCTTAAATACGCCACATAGTGATTTAATTCAACAAGATATTACATCAAATTAGTTTAAAAAGTAATAACAGATTACAATAAACTGATAGATAATAATCGGCTAAAATTGATGAACGGATTATATATATATATGTATCCCATGTAAAAGAAGAAGTCGAAAAAAAATGTGATAATGATCGTTTCTTTGTGATTAAAGATCAATGAAGATCACACCATTATAAATCAACTTTCATCAGATTTAAAAGTATAAAAAATCGATTATGATCAGATTATTTTCCAGTTTTTTTTATGTGGTTAACATTCAGAGTTTTCGTCAATTACTAGAACTTCAGAGAAATTACTTGTGATTTCTCAATAATTGTCGGAAATTCTGCAGATTCTCATTGTTTTTGAGCTAGAAGTTTTGTTTTTATAGATGTACTTCTTAATCTATAGACATTAAATTTAAGATACTACAGAAATTTTCATAATTTCCTGGTAACTTCTGTAGTTTCCTACTAATCTCGGTGATTTTCAAGTAATTATTGACAAACGTGGAAATTCTTATAGTTTTTTTGAGTAGGGTTGTATATTTCGAAATATTTATCTCTTAATGTATATACATTGAGCGTAAAGAAATGATAGAAACTTTTGTAGATTTCAGAATATTTTGATAATGATTTAGAGTACATCAAAAGTTGGATTGAAATATTGTTGTTAAAATTCCTATGATTCGCCAAAATTGCGTGAAAAACGCATTCTGAAGTAGTCCTAATGGCTATTATGTTGCTGATGTTCTTTGCTTTTCTATCCAATTATACTAAAGGAATACATATTTATCCATGTAATTGTCCGCGTGTCAAGACTATAACTTGTTTATTTCATGATTCTGTGATTTAATGAAAGAAAATCTGCAGAAAATGCTCGTGTTTCTCTCTCATAAGTGTAATCAAAAACTTGTCATCTTATAATTCACTGCCTCAATAAATAATGCAATGACATTTTTTTTTATGTCTATATGTATTAAATCAGATTTTTGTATCCACATCTAGTAAATATTGATTACATAGCATTGTATGAATGAGATCTGGATATTTTATCTATAGAAACTGGCATTTTGATTCTTCGTCTCAAATAGTAATTAGAATGTGGTACATGATACCTTCTCGATGTTGAGTTTTGTCTCATAGAGAGTATGTTTGTTAAAAGCCTTGGAAATTCAACCAATGGAAAAATTATCCAATAAAGGTTAATGATATGGTTTTTAGGAAAAAAGTATTTGGCTATTAGTCTTTGATTCTTTGTTTCGATTTTTGCGTAGCATAATGCAAATTAATGAAGTAAAACTCAATACAAAGATTTTTAATTATCAATATGCGAGAGAACGTCCTTCAAATCATTTCAAAAAGTTCACTCCAAATTCTTAGAAGTAAACATGCGTTAAGAAAAAAAAACACTACTCTCCTTCATGCAAGTACTAGTTCAACAAACTTGTCACATTTTTCGCCTGACTGAATTAAATCTATCGACGATGGATTAATATCAGTACAAGAAAAACAAAAACATTACAGTGGAGAAAGAACGTGAAGTATAGAAGAATGATATATTAATGTCAACATAGGTATTAAGCTTTTCTGAAACTGAAAGACAAGAGGTTAGGAAAAATAACTTAAATTATTTTACCTGTCTGCCTATTTAAAACTCGTTTTTAAAACCATATTCTGTTTCGTGTGATATTGTAGTGCTTGTCCTTTTGGATTTATTTTGCAGAATTTCATCTATTTCCATCGATGTTTCAGTTACTTCTGAAATATCATTTGTAATGACCAATCGGCATGAAGTAGGTAGCGAGGAAAGTAAAATACTCTGAGAAAATATCAGACATCTCAGCATTTTTCGATTCTTTCTCAACCTTCATACACTGTGCTAAGGATAACAAAACAGAATATTGAAAAAGAAAAATTCTCATACCTTCAATTTTTAGAGACGTTTTGAGCTTTCCGATCTATATGCTTTTCTTTCAGAATATTCACTAAAATTTTAGATTTCAAGCATAAATTTTAAATTCTAAAGTTCAGAACAATTTATTTTTTCTTCCCTAATACACTATATTAGATCTTATGATGGACTCTCAGAAGCACGTAGAGATGATTATTCCGAAAACTTGTGGCAGATTGTGATCGAAATAACAAGTAACTTTTCTCTATGTGGCAAGTATTTCATCATATTTTATATTTTAATATCTTGTTGCTCGTTCACTGAGCTATCACTATGTGACTAGAATTCAAAAATGCTCGAGAGATAGATGAAACGAGATGTTGAATAATTAAATATCTGAATTCAATAGTTGAATAGTGGAATACTTGAATAGCTGAATACTTGAATAGCTGCATAGTTGAATAGTTGAATACTTTAATAGTTGAGTAATTGAACTGAGACTTTGAATAGTTGTATGGTTGAATATTTAAAGTTCATCTATTCACTTTTTAGCTATTGAATAATTAATTTAGCTTTCAAGTTTGATATATATGTTCTGTCAAAGATAGATGTATGTGTAAAAGAAATTTTATTTCGATTATTTGACAGACGTTCTTATCCGCATTGATTTCCATAATCCTTCAGTGTAGGAAAAAGTGAATTAACATCCGATAAAAGTTACTTTTTTTTTTAATCAAGTCGATATACTACTATCGCTCTACAATACACAAAGATTAGAAAATGCAAGAAATGTTTTCATATCGAATGAGCCAAATATTTGAAAAACTTTATTGTTTTCATTTCATTCTGTTGAAAATAAGTTCTATATCAGTGAAAAATATTTCGATAATAATCGAAATATTTTTCACTGAAATACGGTTTTGAAGAGAAACGCATCGTCTATTATAGTTTTTTACTATTGATTTCAGAAAATGACATTTTGAAAATTCATCAATATTCCTTCTGATGGGTTGCACATCGTCGAAATGTCTCACGGTAACAAGAGCACTTACGACTACTAACGATGATTCACTTCAAGTTCAAAAAAATACATCAACTCAAGAACAACAAAATACACGTTTTGTCGAAAACTGTATGATTGTCTGGTTCGTTGATCATGGCGCGATTCCAGAAAAAGAAACTGTTTTAGCAAAGTTACATCACATCGTCTGTACACTACGAATATTTATTGATCAAGATGCATGTATCACTTTTATGACCAATATATATGAAGAGAAGATATTTCTTATCATTCCATCGAACATGAATTCATTCGTTGAACGTATTCGTCATCTAAAACAAATTGAGAAGATTTATATTTTGGACAGACTTTCGAATAATATCAATCAAAACATGTTTCAATTGAATCTAACGATTTTATGTGAACAATTACGTCAAGATGTTGAATTGTGTGAATTCGACTATATTACTATCACAGCTACTCCATCTTTGTTATCGAATTGCGATTCCACAAAACAAACAGCAGAATTTCTCTACCCACAGTTAATGAAAGAACTCCTGTGTCGATTTAAATTGGATGACAATGCTCAAAATATCTTTTTAGATTTCTGTCGTCAACATTATGCACATGACAATGAACAGTTGAGTACTATCGATGAGTTCGAACAAAACTATCGACCACAAAAAGCTCTCTTATGGTTCAATCGATCATGTTTCATTTCACGTATGCTGCAACGTGCTCAACGTACAGGCGAAATTGATGCTGTTCAAAGGATGGTCTTCTTTATGAAACATATTCATATACAAATCAGTAATATACATGAGAAAATATTTGCTTTGACACAGAATCCTTTAGTTGTCTATCGTGGTAAAACAATGTTAAACAATGAATTTGAAACATTAGTAAAAAATAATTGTGGTGGTCTACTGTCATGTTCAACATTCCTAATAACTAATATTGACAAAAATGTTGCAATGGATTTTCTTCGTCGTCGAATAGCCGCTCATACAGATAGAATAGCTATTCTCTTTGAAATCCATATCAATCCAATGCAACATAATATAATGAATCCGTTTGTATCACTGGACAATATCGATTTGAATGATGAAACGAAAAAAGACAAGATTTGTTTTACTCTTAGCGTTATCTTTCATATTGAATCTGTCGAAAAAATGGATGAACATTCGATGAATATATGGAGGGTGAAATTGACACTCACAGAGGATAATGATCCACATGTACTTCGTCTCATTGAACCTCTAAGAAGTAAAGATGTATATGCCAATCCACTTTTTCACTTCGATAAACTACTCATTACAATGGGTGATTATGATCGTGTCGAACAATTCTATCACAATATACTAGCAAATACTTCGGCTCTCAATCGCCCACATCGACTCAGTCTTATGCAGAAAGGTCTTGGCACTATTTTCATGTATAAAGGCGAACACAACAAAGCTCTCGAACACTTTCAAAAAGCACTCGAAGCAAGCTTAATCTATTTGCCTTCAGATCATCCTGATCTTGCAAGTATTTATACCATGATCGGTAATTGTTACTCTAACATAGGTAATTATGCATTAGCTCTGGACAATTACAAACGAGCTATGAAATTGATGCAGGATAATATTCAATCAATTGATCAACAATCTGTCGACGATTTGTATAACTGTATTGAACATTCAAGTCAATTACTTGAACATCAGACGTGATATTTTATTCGATTACAGCTTCTTACAAAAATCATATTGCATTTCGTATTGTACACTATCTCAAATGAAGAAACTGGTGAAAGCGTGAATGTTTTTATGAAGACGTGATGTTCTTTTTATTAATACCAACACACATGAATATCCACACTCACACACTTCGTTGTGATAACAAAAGATACGTCCAACAATGTAGATAGAAATTAAGAAATATTTATTGTTTTGGTGTCATTGTATTTAAAAGAAAAAGTAAATTCTAACTCTTTTATGTTTATTAAACAAGCTGTTATTTTCTTTTCTTGTCCCATTGTTTTCTAAATGTGTTAGATGATGATATTGTACGTAATATGTATTGCTTATTTGTTCATGAAATAATGATCAATATTTTTCATTACAGAACAAATATGAAGTTTTCTTTCTCGATTTCTAGATTGTGAAAAACTCGGTTTTTTTTTTCGGATGTTGTTATGTTAATACTAATGACCACTAGAAATAAACTCAAGAAAAAAAAAACTGAATAATTTCAGAAATTTGGAATCAACTTTGACTTCAAGTATAGAAATGAAAATATATCAATCATAATAAATGATCTTAATAAAAAGATTATTTTTGTTTTTTTTTTTTTTTCTTTTGGCTTATGTATTCTATATAAAGATGAAATAAATTAAATAACGAATAACACCAGTAATAAATTGACAAACAAATAATCATCTATAGTCTTATTATATAGTATGACAACAATAACAATAAAAATATCATTTCGGTGGGACATATTTCATATAGGATTGTCATCTATGTGAAAATGTTCTTTGTGATGATGCTAATTGACCAAGAGCAGAATTAAGTCCATTTAAATGATTAAAAAATGCTTGTTTTTCAACTTGAATAGCTACATTTTGCATTTGAGCTTCTTTAAGAATTGTTTGAACCTAAATTAAAAAAACAATAATAATAAAATTATAATTAATATAAAAACAAAAATTAAACTAACTTGAGCTGTAATACGTTGTTCATCAGCATCATTTGCAATTTGTATATGAATTGTTCCTACTGTAACAGATGATGAAAGATTCCAAAAATGTTCATCAGAATATGATTGTACTCGATCAAGTTTAAGTATTCTATCAAGTATTTCATATTGAATATTTGATGGAGTTTGTAATAAAAGTGTCATAGCACTTTCTTTTAAAAGTGGAATTACAGAAAGAAAAATCATTATTGAAATAAATAATGAACATATTGGATCAGATATATTCCAACCAAAATATTGAATAAGTAATGATGAAATAATTACACCAACCTAAATGTTTAAATTTAAATTACTTAGAACATATAAATTCTTTCTACATAGTCTCATAGTGAAAACAATGCTTTACAATATCTTAGATATTGAAATCATAAAGAATAAAATAATTTCGATAAGATCAACATTAGATCACATTTTGTCTTCGATGCATATTCTCGAGAACTTAACATTGATCTCTAAAAAAACCCCTATTTCATTCTTCTCTTATGTAGCATTTTTGTTTTTGATAACTGCAATGTCTAGTAAACGAAAGCTATCAATATTATTAGAGCAGAGAGAACATCAAGAGAAGGATTTAATTTTGAATACAAAATGTTATTTTGCTATTACCGTCACATATTTTAGATGTTTAGGAATTAAAAAGAGAGGCCCTCGATACAAATTTTGCTACGATATAAATATTTATTTTCGAATTTCTAGCGAAAATACTTACACTTCCCAATGTGTCCGCTAATACATGAAGAAAGACGCCTTAAAAAAAAAGAGAATATAAACGATGTCGTATATTTTAAAACCAATATGAAAAATTACCCCTCATATTTGCATTATCTGTCAATGCATGACTATGTCCATGATGACTTGATTTTTCAGTTGATGCATGCGAATGTCCATGATCATGACCACTACTACCATGTGAATGTGAATGATCATGTCCATCATGAGAATGGCCATGATTATGTTGTTCTTTAATGGGAGCTGGTTGACTCATAGAACAACTACCACCACCATGAGCATGTGCATGAGCATGACTAAATGAAAATATACCAATCATATTAACAGCAAATCCAGCAACAGATACAAATAATAAACGATTTGTATTAATTTCAGGTGGTTCAAAAATACGACCAATTGCTTCATAGAAAACAAAAAAAGCCACAACAACAAGAAATAAACCATTAACAAAACCCGAAAGAAGTTCTACACGACCATAACCATATGAAAATACACGTGTTGGTTTCCAACGAGTCATAAGAGCTGCATAAAGACCAACAACAAGTGCTGTACAATCAAATAACATATGAAAACCATCACTAATTAAACCTAATGAATTTGTCCAAGCTCCATAAAGAAGTTCAACAAATGTAAACATCTATTCAAAAAATAAATATAAAAAAAATTTTATTTTCATAACTTCTAAACAGAAAATTTTGAGACGAAATATGTTTTTTTTCAACTCGAAAGTAAATTTTAATACTTTTATTAATATATATATCAGCTTGTAGTGCCAAAGCTATCCTATAAAATGTATTATTAGGGATTTTCTCTAAGTCAATTCAATTTTATCTTAAATTTTCATCTTTGAAAATTTTACTTTTTTAATCGAAAGACATTTTGTATACAAATGAGCTCTTGGTAAAGTGTCGATAGTTTTATTTAGGTAAAAACTACAGCTTAGTACAATATAACATTTTGTCATGTCCGCTCAATAGAGCTGATCAATGAAATTTTCTAATCGAAACTAAATAGTTGCTCCGAAGATAGGAGATCATTCTTTACTTACTAGATTAATACAAAGAAAATAAAAAATTTTTCTTGAATCTGATTCTGCAAGAATATCTCTTAAACTTGATTTTAATATAAGTAATAATGATTGAGATCTTTGTTGAGTTAAATTAAATAATGGTACACCTTCTTGATTATAACCAATAAAAGCACCTGATCGTTGTTTTATTGGACTTATTAAAAGATCAGTTGCAAATCCAAACATAACAACAGCAAAAATAACACCACCAGATAATTCATGTTCTTCAACTTGAATTATTCGTCCAAACCATATATTATTACTTGTTATTCGTACTGTTTTAACCCAAATAAATGAAACAATAAGTGCACTAAATATCATTGTTAATGTACCATATCGAAATGTTCGTATACGATCAAGTTTTATAATTGCTAATTGTTCAACATAAAAATCTAATATAAATAAAAATATTGTAATAAGAAAAATAGGAATAATTAATGATGATATATTATCATATAATGATGATGTTATAGATGTTGATACTGTTGTTTGAAATGTTGAACGTATTGAATCAATTGAATCCGGCTAAAGAAAATTAAAAAAAAAAAAAAAATAAGTTTTTTTTTTTTTTTCAAATTAAAAATATTTTTCTTCTTACAAATAAATTATTAACTAATAAAATAATAAATGACATTGGTATAAGACATATTGTTGATAAACATGTTGTTATAGCATAAAATTTTTTTTGTCCACCAACATCTAATATTAATTTTTTACTCCATGAATTTATTGCACAACGAAAAAATAAAGCAATTAATAATAATATTACTCCACCTTTATGATCAGCAACACCAATTAATGATGTTAATTGATAAAAAATATGTGCAATAAATCTATGATGTAAATGACCTTCAGGATGATCAATATTTTGTCTTGAATCATCATTATCAAATGCAAATATAGCTAAAACAGCTAAAATAAAAAATACAACACCACGTATTCGTGATGTTTGTCCTTGTTGACCATTAAATGATGATGAAAATATAATTTGAAAACAAGTAATTATAACAATATCACTATGTTCAAATAATAATATTGTTCGTAATGGACCACATAATGTTAAACCAAATAACCAAAGAAGACGTATTATTGTAAGACATATTGTATATTTAATTAAACGATAAATTAATGTTTTATTTGGTCGAAATGATGATGATGATGATGAAAATGGTTTTTGAATAAATAATAAACAAATTGAAGCAAATAATGTTGTAAGAAATAAAATTAAAACTAAATGATAAGATTTTAATAAATCGTATGTTATAAATAAACCAAATGTTTTAAATAATTTAATAATTATAAGTAATATAATGATATGTAAAACATCACTAATTGGACGAGTTTTTGATGTTTTAGAAAAAACATCCGAATCAAACATTTTAGTTTTTTTTAATTTTAATTTTATTTTATTCTATAGAATGGAAACAGATGTTCACAAAACATTGAGAATACGAAATTGATGATTCATAGTAAGAACAACATTGAATGGGAAATGCATACGATTGGATAATTATCGGAAAATAATAAATAGTTTTGTATTTCTTATAATTATAGAGTTTTTTTTCTTTTCCTATAGTTGTCACTTTACCACGAAGAATCTTTCATTAAAGTTAGATAACGAAGTATTTTATATCAATTCTATACTTTTTAAACCATTGTTTTCACTGCCATCTACTCAATTTTCATTTTTACAACCTGAAATTTGCTAACTTTTAATTGGTTCTCTTCATATTATAACCTAAGGTAAAATTTTATATTGCTATGGACAATCGAGGGTTATATGAATGTCAAACGGAAGAAGAACTTCTATACTCTTCATTGTAATCCAACATAAAAATTTCTAATTCTATATTATAGAAGGATTGAAACAAAAATGGCAGCAGCAAGCAATAAAAGTACTACATCATCACAACAAAAATCATTGATTTCTTCATCACAAAACATGACAAGTATTCTATCAACTATTGAAAACTTTTTATTAAGCCGTCGTATTGAACAATCATCAACAGTTGAAAATTTCATTATTATATGGTTAGATGCTAGTTTAGATATACATAGTAATGAACAGAATTCTTTTAAAAATCGTTTTCAAAATCTTGTACATTTAATATTACTATTCAATGAAGTAAATCAATGCATTGATTTTATTACTGATATTAAAAATGAAAAAATCTTTTTAATTATTTCTGGTCTTCTTGGTCGAAAACTCATGCCAGTAATTAATAATTTTTCTCAAATTGATTCAGTTTATATTTATTGTACTAATAAAGCTAGATATGAAAAATGGGCCGATGAAGAAAAAAAAATCAAAGGAGTTTTTCAAAATATTGAACCTATTTATGATGCTGTTCGACGAGATATAAGACAATGTGAAGATGATTTAATTCCATTAAGTATTTTATCAACAACATTTAATCAAAAAGAAAAATTAAATTCATTAGATCAATTATTTATTTATACACATTTACTTAAAGAAATTTTAATTGATTTAAATTATAAACCAAATACAAAAATAGATTTTATTAATTTTTGTTATTTGAAATATCAAAATAATAAATATCAATTAAATATAATAAAAGAATTTCAAAATAATTATAATCAAACATCATCTATATGGTGGTATACAAGAGAATGTTTTATTTCATCAATGTTAAATAAAGCATTTCGTATTCAAGATATTGATATTCTTATTAAAATGGGTTTTTTTATTCGAGATATACATTTAGAAATTATACGATTACATTCAAAATTAAATAATAAACAAAATCATTTAATTGTTTATCGAGGACAAGGTATAACAGAAGAAGAATTTCATAAAATTTTAGATAATCAAAATGGTTTTATTTCATTTAATAATTTTCTTATAACAACTAGAAATAAAGATTTATCAATATTATATGCACGTTGTGCTCGAGATAATCATGAATTAATAGGAATTCTATATCAAATAGAAATTGATCAAACAAAATCATTATTTACATCATTAGATAATATAAATTATTATTCACAATCAGAAAAAGAAATATTATTTTCAACACATACTATATTTCGAATTTCTACTATTGATCAAATTGAAAATGGATTATGGTTAATACAATTAAAATTAACAAATAATGAAAATGAACAATTAAAATATTTTAAACAATTATTACGAAAGGATATTGAAAATAAAAATGAATCAGAACGATTCAATATATTAATGTCTAAATTACAAATGATTTATGAATCAAAACCGATCAAGAAAAAAATACAATCTACAGATATGGAATTCGAACAATCCGTTAAACAAAATATCTATCACGTGCAACCTGAGAAAATAAATCTATCGATAGTTAATGATCAAACTGAACAATCTACTGAAGAGAAAATCTCTCACGAGCAAATTCAAGAAACAAATCAATCGACGGCTAATAATGAAATTGAACAATCCGCTGAAGAAAACGTCTCTGTCGAATCAACTAAAAAAACAAGTCAATTATCGGCTAATGATGAAACAGAATCGGAACATTCTCCTATCGTTACTGATATGATAGATGAGAAGTCAATGAATCGACTACAGAAGGTTTCTGATGTATAATGTCATTCCAATTGTTTTTAAATGTTTTTCTGTTATTAATAATAATTTTCATTCAATTAATTAAGATGAGAATAACAAATAAAAAATACATTTTAAATTATATAGTACAACACTGATTATGAATAATAATTTTACTAAAGAATTCTATAGTACTGATTGGTATTATATTTTCACTTTTAAGATTTAATAGAAGCCAAACAATCAAGAAGTGCTTGTATTTTACAATTCAAAAAAAAGTAGATAGATAGATTTAACCAACATTGATCAATTATATATTGTTCATAAATTGTTCGTATAAGGAAATATTCCTAACTATCAATTTCTTTTTGTTTGAGACTATTGCCATTCGATTGCTCATGATAAGTAGTAAGAGTCTGTTGACGTAATCTCTATAGAATCAATAGCTATTCTTTGAAGAGCTTATGAAAAAGAGCGAATTTATATCAAAAATTATTATCGTATACGTGTTCCAACATAGTGAGTAACTGATTTACATGTGTCTATATTCATTACTAATTTCATGTAAAAAAAGGTAATTTAAATTGTTAGATCAAACTAACACTTGAGATCAATTGCGCATATTGAATTATTCAGCTTCTATCATATTCAAACTGATTCAACAAATCGATCAGATTTGTTTAAGTGAATATATGACATTTTCGGAAGAACTTTGAATCAACGATGAAGAGAGTTTAATAATCTAAACTAGTAAAACAGTTATTAGATACAAACAAAAAATAGATAATCTAGTAAAATTGACAAATCGTTTTTTCTATCCTTATTTTTCTGATCGTTCATTTTTTAAATCTAAGTTTATTATTCTTATATAAAAAGACATTTCGATAAATAGACGATCATTTTTCAAGGTATTACACTTGTCATTCTTTTTCTTCACATAAACAGTAGCAATTAAAAAAACAAAAAGAATTCTATCAGACACTACAGTTTGACATACTTTTACAAATGAAAAAAAAAGAAACATTTAATAGAATGAAGTGTCATAGAAAACTTCAACTTGTCAAATGAGCTATTTGTAATTCTTGTTTATTAAATATCTTGCGAAAATTTCCTTTTTTTTTGCAATTCAAATATTATATATCAGGCGATAGAAATTGAATTATTGATGTAGAAAAGATATACGAAAGATTTATAACTTAAGAATGATAATCAATACTAATGAATATTTTTACATTCTTATTCTATGAATTATTTGAACTATGACATAGATAAAAATAATCTATATAATGCTTGATATCAACGTAGATGTCAAAAGAACACTGTTTTTTTTTGTTTTTGTTTCTGCAATGTCAAACAATAAATTCAACACTCCTCATTTTGATATTCACCATAGATAATTTCAAAAATGTGCGCAAAATATTTTTTTTAGTACTTAGACAACTCTACAACAAAATCAAAATATAATACTTTTCATTAATTAAAAACCTATTTGTATTGTGTTCCAAGACGATGCATATGTTTGTTTTTTTTTTCATAGTTGAAAAGAAATAATAATAATAATACTTATATAATTGTTTTTCTATTCTAGACAGAATCGATTTGTATTATTTTAAAAATAAAGTATCATCAAATTTAAAAAACTAATTACTACGTCACAGAGATGGACAAAATCGCACCGCGCCTCCGCGCGCCGCTGCTCGCGCCTAGGCGTTACGTACATCTCTCTTTCTCTTTGCTCTACCAATCAGTTTCTCAAACTCCACCGAATACCGGGATGCTCTAAGCATGCGCTCATCAAAGCTCAGACTAGTATAGCGTAGGCGTGAGCAGCGGCGCGGGGAAGCGCGGGGAGGCGCGGTGGGATTTTGTCCATCTCTGCTACGTCACTTACAATTTTCTAAATATCAAAACAGAAATAGTTGCATATATAACGAAAGTATTCTAATTATGTTACCCAAAAACGAAGTAATTCAGAAACGCATGTCTTTCGACTTATCATTCTAAACAGAAGTACTCAAACAAAATAGATGAATTGAAAATTTTTTATTATATAATCTATGTTTATTTAACAAAAATTTTTACAAACATTAAATTAAATTTAGAATATTATAAAAAATATAATAAAAAAAAAATTAATTAGGTTTATAGAAACATATTGTAACAAATTTTTGTTTATATCGAATAGTTGTACTTAATATCATAATACCATTCTAAAAAAAATATTGATTGATAAAACAAAAAAAGTTAAGAAAATAAATCATTACTTGAATTGATAAAGCATATAAATGTCGAAGCATGACAGTATTTGGTTCGGGAAGTATATCAGGATCACACTAAAAATTAACAATATATATATATATTTACATAGTATTTATATAGATTAAGAAAAATCAAACATGATCAGGCAATTTTTGATTAAGAATAATATTGAGTAGATGAGGTGGTATATGAGGTGGAGATGATTGATCATTTTTTATAAATTGATTATTTATTTCTTTTGTCCATATATTTAATTTATGAAAAGATGTAATTGTTCGTTCAAAATAATTATTTATATTTTGATCATTTACATTTATATAAAGAAAATGTACACGACCAAATTTAATATGACATTCAATTGTCTTAAACACATAAGAAATATAAATTTTTCAATATTAGAATATATTAAAATAAATTTAAATATACTTCATTTGGTATAAAACGTGGTCGTCCATTAACTAAAATTTTATAATAATGACAACCATGTTGTATTTGAATACATAATTTAAATTCACCATTTCTATAATTTTAAATATAAAGAATATTAAAAACAAAAAAAAACGTATATAACACTATTAACATACGTTTTAGTCATTTTATGTTCAATCCAATCTGTAAATGTACCAGTTACACTTGCATATGTATCAAAAGGTAAAACAGGTATTGAAAAAGTAATTAATGTTGAATCAATAGAATGCATTATAATATTTAATTCATCAAGTGGTGGTGCACTTTTTGTTGAAATCTAATGAAAAGATTAAAATTTCTTAAAAGAAAAATATTTATTTGAAATTAATAAATACACGTCGTTCTCTCTGTTGAATTGTAACTAAACGTTCATCATCACTATCATGTTTATTAAAACCTACACATTCACTTGGACGATGTTGACGTTTTGTATTTGTTTGATGATTTCCCATCGTTTATTCACCGTCTTTATTCTGATTCTTTTACTATGTTTTCTATAATATGTATATATTTCTAATGGTATACAAAATTTATTTATGAAAAAAAGAAACGTGATGATATGTATAAGTGTATGAACTTAGTCTATCATTTGTATGTTCTTTTTTAATGAAAGTATTTTTGGAATGTTTATTTTACGTAGTTTAATTTCAAAATTATAAACAACATCATACGATGTTTTTATCTTTGTTATATAGAATTTAATTATTAATAAATGCTGAAATGATTGAATAAAAACAAAAAAAAACATATTCTGATTTATATCATATATGTAAAGAGAACAATAAAACCATTAATTTGATAATGATCTATTCATGATTTGATGCTTTAAATATCTATAGAGAAGAAATATTACTATTCAGTTTTTTGATTTTAGTGTCAGTTCAAATCATTGGAACTATTGTCATTGAGATTCATGTACATCAGTTCTTGTTGATGGATTATGCGTTGAAAAATTTTGTAATTCGACAACATCTAATCAAACGACTTGCTTTGAATTTAATACAACAGAATGTTTCGTTGTTGATTCTACTGGAAACGTTGATCATGTTTATACTATTTTTTAACATTTAGAACTTTTATTTTATTAATAACTACTGCTATTTGGAACATTAAGAACAAATGACTTTTTCTTGTAACTAAATATTAATAAATATAGATGATAAAAATCAGATAAATCTTCTTTTTCCCATATGATAGAATAGACACCAAACTGATCCTTTTTTTTCCCCATTTGATTCATCCATAATAAAATAATTTCATCTGTGTATATGAGATATCCTTTATAAATATACAATGAAGTATCATATTTAATAAAACGTTTGATAAAAAGAAAAATTTAAATATCAAAACAAAAAAAAAAATGCTTATCCAATGGAATGACAATATTATCTTTCGTAAGTAACAATATATTAGGTTCGGATTTATTGATTGAAACAAAATTCGGCTTCTTAATAGAATGAATCATGTTAGTCTTCATCATCTATACTATTATTCAAAAACATGTTATTTGTTATCATTAAAAATTGGGCGGAATATTGTAGTGGAATCAAATTACCAACAAAAAAAAAAAGTAGTAAGCTATGAGAAAAAAAAAATTAAAATATATATACCCATTTGCAGTTATTGACTTCAATCACTCAGTAGCATTTGACGTTTTAATACAATGCGTGTCTTGACTGCATTGATAATTTTCCTTCTGGTTCTACAAGGAATATTCGCTGACAATTGTGAATGTAGTTGTTGTACATCAGCTAATTGTGAACCTCAAGTAGTAGGATCTTTTTATACATGGTATTGTGACCCTCAAACATGTGTATCACAACATTGTATTGATCGTTATCATGCTCAATGTCCACCAGTTGGTGCTAATGGAAAAATAAAAACAAGATGTAGTGGTACTGAACGATTACTATCACCATTATTTATTATAATTGGTATTACTTCTATTATTTTAATGATTAAAAACAAGTTTTAACATAAGACATAACTCGGAATTTTATTTTCATGTGCGTATTCGTCTAATTCAGTTTTTTTTTTTTTTTTCGTTTATAAACAAATAAAAGTTAATTATTAAGCGAAGATTTTATTCATAATTATTATAATTAATTTTTACATATTTCATATAGAATTTAATCAAAGAATGACAAATAAATATTGAAATTTATCATAATCTAATAAAGTTTGAAATTTATTTTAGATAAAAAGTAAAAAAAATAAATAAAAATGTCCCCTTAATGATGACGTTTTTAGTTTCATAGCATCATAGTTTTAATAATTACGAGATTAAATTTCAATTTAGAATATTTAATATTGAT